AAGGAGTATGTCAAGGCTGTATATTGTCACCCTGCTTATTTAACTTATATGCAGAGTACATCATGAGAAACGCTGGGCTGGATGAAGCACAAGCTGGAATCAAGATTCCTGGGAGAAATATAAATAACCTCAGATATACAGATGACACAGAAAGTGTTTATCTGAGGTTGTATTATCAGATATGCAATATCAATAACCTCAGATGTGCAGAAAGTGAAGAAGAACTAAAGAGCCTCTTGATGAAAGTGAAAGAGGGAAGTGAAAAAGCTGGCTTGAAGCTCAACATTCAGAAAACTAGGATCATGGCATCCAGTCCCATCACTTCATGGCAAATAGATGGGGAAACAATAGAAACAGTGAGAGAGTTTATTTTGGAGGGCTTGAAAATCACTGAACATGGTGACTGCAGCCATGAAATTAAAAGATGCTTACATCTTGGAAGAAAAGTTATGACCAACCTAGAAAGCATATTAAAAAGCAGAGACATTACTTTGCCAACAAAGGTCCGTCTAGTCAAGGCTATGGTTTTTCCAGTAGTCATGTATGGATGTGAGAGTTGAACTATAAAGAAAGCTGAGCACTGAAGAATTGATGCTTTTGAACTGTGGTGTTGGAGAAGACTCTTGAGAGTCCCATGGACAGCAAGGAGATCCAACCAGTCCATCCTACAGGAAATCAGTCCTGAATATTCACCGGAAGTACTGATGTTGAAGCTGAAACTCCAATACTTTGGCCACGTGATGCAAGGAGCTGACTCATTAGAAAAGACCCTGATGCTGAGGAAGATTGAAGGTGGAAGGAGTATGGGACGACAGAGGATGAGATGGTTGGGTGGCACCACCGACTTAACGGGTATGAGTTTGAGTAAACTACAGGAATTGGTGATGAACTGGGAGGCCTGCGTGCTGCAGTCCACAGGGTTGCAAAGAGTTGGACACGACTGAGCGACTGAACTGAACTGAACTTTTTACATGACTGGAGCAGACTAAATTTACTATTCTCAGCAGCTGCTTTTTTCTCCACTTATTAACTATGGATGGGGTCTTAATGAAAAGGTTGGCTCAAATTTTTGGGAAAAAAAAAATGTTTGCACATCTAAGTGTAGTGAGGATAAATATCTTAATACAATCCTGCTCACAATCTTACTCAGCTCCCTCCCAGCCAAACAAGGTGACCAGAATTCTCTTCCTTAAAGATAAACCTGAGCTTTCATATCTACTTACAAAAACCCTCGTTCATATTCTCAAACTTAACACCCTACCAACTGGCCTTAGTCTCCATTTTTAAACTCATTTCTGCCTCTTTCCTCCTAAGTATGCCACACTCCAGCCAATCAACCCATCAGTCCCTCAAGGAGACAAGCTCTTTCCTCGGCCTCATGCTACTGATAGACTACGTCTCTGGCGTCACCAGGCCTGGGTGTGAGTCCTGACTCCTCCAAGTGGTAATAACTTGTGAGACCTTGGGCAGGTGACTACCCTTTCTGAGACTAAGTCTCTTCTAGCCAATGAGGCCAAAGACAGACTTACAGGACAGACTAGCTGACATATAATGCCTGGCACCCAGTAGGTACTTAACAAATGTTAATTCCCTTCTCTCTCAGAGCAAACCTTTGTCTTGACGTTCTTATTCTCCAGTCCCTCTCCTACCTAAAATTCTTATTGAACTTTCATGTCTCGTGTCATGAACCGTCAATTCCACTAAATCTTTCCGAGGTTCCTTCTGGCAAAAAGGAGTCCCTCTCTCCTCTGTGGGGTCAGTTGTGGCTCAGCAGTAACAGAATCTGCCTGCCAATGCAAAAGATGTGGGTTCGACCCCTGGGTCAGGAAAATCCCTTGGAGAAGAAAATGGCAACCCAATCCCGTATTCTTGCCTGGAAAATTCCATGGAACTTGGTGAGTCCATGGGGTCGCAGAGTCAGAGATGGCTGAGCATGCACGTACGCACACACTCCTCTGTGTTTCAGTAACCTCGTGCACTCTGTCCTCACACAGCCGGACAGCTGTCCACACATGTGTCTCTTTTCCCTGTGGGACTTGTCCCTTTGTACCCAAACCCCTCAATAATGTTTGGTGAATAAATGATCATCATAAAGAAAACATGAGGTATAATCAACCTAATAAATTTGCTTCAAGCAGCCACATATGACAATTTTATGACTGTATAATCACTTCTAGGTAGACACCCAGAGAAAAGATTTAGAAACATCACTAAAGCTATTAAATACATATTTTTATCAAAAAGAGGAAACCAGAATATTATGATGTCCTTCATAATAGAAAAACAGTAAGTACAGATATGGTAGGTTGGCAGATTCACTAAAGGGTCTTACCACTTACCAACAGTAACCACAAATTGCCAGAATGATAACACAATGAACAGGTCTAGGAAATTTAAACATTCAGGGTCTTATTGGTATCTACTGT